CCACCAAACTTTCAAAACTTACATTTTGGTCTGTAGCCAAATTTTGGGCTATTACAATTAATGCTTATGAAAGTCATTAGGAGTCATTATACATCATTTTTACACCAATCTAACATAAAAATCGTCCATAACAACAAATTAAGAACCCAAGCCCCCACATGCTCTTGCCCCTATACAAGCAAGCACACTCATGTAGATGATATACAAATAGTATGGAATATTTATAGTGTGTTAGCTCAGCTCCTAGCAACCCAAATACCTCTCTAGACCCTCCAAGAACCAACCTTCTCAATTTCTTTCTCTTTGGGGGTTCTTGCACCACTCTTCCTCCACCCAAAAGCCATCAAATGATTCCAACATGAAAATGAAGGACACTAGGTGTTAAACAATGACTGTAACACACGAAAATTGGATAGAAACCATGAGAGGAGCCTTTGGAGCTCAAACCTCCCAAAACCTCATGAGAGCTTAAGAACACCATTTATGGAGGTGGTGAGCTTTTCATGAAGCTTAAGAAATATAGAATAAAAATATTACCTCTAGAATTTCATATTTAAGAATGAGATGAAGAAAGGTGCAAGCTTTTCCATTTCTATAACTTGAAAGAAGAATAAAGAATGAAGAGAAAACATGAAAGGAAGAATGAGAAATGTTTGGAGAAGAAAAAGAGAAAAATAGTCTAGCCAAGCTCCCTCAAACCCACGTGAAAATCAGCTAGAAATACTTTCAAATCAGTCATTTTTTTTCTAAATGGGTAGATTACATTCTAGGTCATTCTACTTTCATCCTAAGCTTAAAAATCCTTTTTTTTTTATCTTTTATATGGCTAATTTCTTACTCCATGAAGCTCAATTTCGAACTAATAAACCTCCATGCTATAACAAATCTATTAAATAAATCATTGGCTCAACATGAAACTACTAGACTAGTATTTGGGGTGTTAAAAAAAGTGATGTAGTAATTAAAAAAATTGACATGTCATGCCACATAAGCATTGGCTTTAAAAAAATAAAGTTTAGATACTAAAACGAAACAAAAGTGATAATTTAGGTACAAAACGTGTAATTTACCCTTTTAATATTTACTTAATATGGATAATTTAGCTAGTAGTGTATTTCGGTATGTCGCTTTAATAGTGTGTTGTAGTGTACAACGTGCGCTATAGATTTTTTCATATAATTTTTTTATTAAATAAAATATAATCTAATTAAAAAATATCAATAAATTATTATTATTGTAATTATCCATAAATATACAATAGATAATAATATTATGTTAGGCCGAATCAAGAATTTTTATCCTAAATTTGAATCTAACTTGATCCAATCATGTTATTGGCAATAAATCTAACCCGAATTGAAATAATGGAAACCAGTTTTATAAAATCACATTGATTGAACTCATCAATTTTTTTATTATTAATATGAGGTATGTACAAGGGTAAAGTAAAAATCGTCAAATGGTACTTGAACCTGATACATTTAGGAATAACAACGATTCATTTACCACTTAAATTGTTCTGTTAGTACGAATTCATCAAATTTTAATCTCATATATGTATATATATATCAATTCACACCGTCCATTGATATTCATAGTTAAGTTGCTGGGTCTTTGTTATGGATTGAGTTGAATATTAAAATGTTTGACCTTGGGAATAAATATATGGACATTTCATTTGCTTCATATGTAATATTGGAAGTCCCCCAACTGGAAGCAAGTTTCAATATCGTGTAATTGCTGTTAAATCCAATCCCTTGTGTTGGCACCTGCTGTCAGAAAAACCAAGATTCGGCCACCGCCCATTGGTGTCGGAGTATCATATTTTCACAGCCGTCCAATATGATATCCGCCCATCCCAACACAATATACTCTCCCGCCATTTCCTTCGCTGGCTCTGCATAACACCACGTGACCAGCAAGATAATATCCAAGTGTCGGTTGTGTGAAGCCCCTGTCCGAAATTTAGACAAAAATATTCCATGTTCAAAAATTACGAGAAAAATAAATAAATTTTAATATTTAAGATTTGAATTTTATCAAGTTTTTTTAAAATTATCTGATATAATATAAATTAAAAGTTTATATAATTTTATTTATTTAAGATTTAATATTTAAAATTTTATATTAAAATAAATAAATTGTACAAAATTTATGTATGAATAATATTTCTTTCAAAAAATATAGTCAATAAATGAATTACACTTGCTTGATTTATCAAATACGGTAGCAGTTGATCTATAGAATGATTGCCTAATTGAAGCTTTCTTTAAAATCTATGTTTAAAAACAACTCACATATATACAAATCAAGTGCCTCAATAATAATAAAAAATTATTACTTTAAAAAAAATTAAATTTAAACATAAAAAATTATAAGATCCAAGTAAGACCCCTTTAAACTTGTGTTTCCCACAGGATTAAAAGAAAAATCACATGGAACATTAGTGGCATGTGACATTGCACCTATAATCATTCAAGTTAAAAGCTAAAATATATTGTGTTATCACGTAAGCCTTATTTTAATTATCATATTTTAAGCACGAATCAAACAACTTCAGTAGTTAAAAGAATAATTATTATTCTTAGAAATTTTAAATTCAAATAGTAGTAATTACAGGGAATTTAAACATTTATTTTCAAATGATTGAAAGTCTTTAGATTAAATACTACAAGTTATATACATCCTAAATTAATAAAATATCATATTTTAAGTGACATCTGATATTGTTCCGTTAGGTTTAAAATGTTTTAATAGAAAAAAAAATATTGATTTATTGAATGACTTGAGTGGTAAAAAATGTTATTTTTTTTGGATTTGAATTTGAACACTTATATCTACATATGCATATACGTTGCTAATAGACTAAAAATTTTAAGAGTAAATATTATCTTGTAATCACTTAAACTATTAAAAGATAAAAAGTAAAAGTAAAAAAAATACAATAAACGTTTAAGGAAAAATTATTAATGATTAAAACTATTGAGTTGAGATATATTAATTGACCGAGTGATTATGGATGCTTATATCATCTTACCTTGTGTAATTTGTTTTTTATAAAATATGGTGCTTACAAGTGGCAGTATCTATTGTAAAGATTCTTAATCATTTGACAACGAGTGTTCAAATATCATGCAGTCTCTGGTGCTCAAACTTAGGACCTCTAGTAGTAACAAAAACTTGATTCGTGTTCACCTTATGTGAATTTGAATTTGAATATTTGCTTTTAAAATATAATATATCTCTATTTAATAAAAATAAAATTAATATGTTAAAAACATAATAAAAATATATTCATAAACTAGGTCACGCTAAAGTATGAAATAACATTTAATTTTAAATTTAATAAATATTTTACAATATGATATGTGAATTATTTTTATTCAAATTAGTTTCTGAAGTAGACAATTTTCTTATTTTAATTCATTTTAATAACGTGGCGTTCTTAAATTACAAGACATAACGAAAATGATTAAATATTTAAGTTTAGTGATTAATGTGGACTAAATGAATTGAAGGATTAAATTGAAAATATTAGGAAGTTCGAGGGAGTAAATGTTAGTCTACCCCGGAAATAGAAAACGCAAACGGGTTTAGCCTGAATTAAGGAGGCAATTCAGGGTACCGACCGGCTAAGAGTCAGATTGTGGATACGACAAAGGATGGTGGACTTTTCATTTGGCAAGTTGCCTTGATTATATAGGAAACAACGACCTCGGACGTCGGTGCGACCAACGGTGCATATATATACTCATTAAACTGCCAGTCTCTCTTTAAAAACAACTGGGGTTTTTGTTTTTACCTACTTGATTCTATATTTGAGTTAACCAATTAATTTAGTGTTAATGGAATAATGTATTTGTAAAAGCGCAGACTCAGAGGATGTGGGGCCGGCGCCGGCCCTTCAAATTCAGAGTTTGACAACCACCCTTTTCCATTAAATAAAAACACTTTTCTCAAACGCTAAAATATTTATTGGCTAAAATTGTTTGATTTTAAATGGATCATTTTTAAAATTTATATTTTAGTTACTCAATTTAGTGATGGAATAGCAATATGATATGATATTATGATAAATTTAATCTTTAAAATTTATGTATTTATCAATTTAGTATTTGTTTTTATTCATTGAGAACACATGTTCAAGTAATATAAATGTCAGGGGAGTGAGTGTTCAATATCAAAAGGTTGAGGGTTATCTTTGAACATACATTGTCTTGTATTTATCTCATATTAATTAATTTTTTACCCATTTTGTCTTTGTTTTCTTCTCATAAATGTTATGTTACTTTTTTAGTATAACAATAACTTGTTATTTTATGGTAGAATGCAGTTATATAATCTTCATTGACTTGACTGGCTCGCTTAATTTGTTAATATCGCATAGAAAAAATAAATTGATTACTTTTTAAAATATGAATAGTGAAATTTATTAAAATGTTTCGAATTAGGATCAAATTAATATAATATATTAGTTTTGAGAACTAAATATATTATTATACTATGCCATATTATTTTTTTTCAATTAAAACGACAAAGTAGGGACGAGAATGAGTGGGGTCATGATAGATTTTTTTCTTTACTCGAACCCGAATTGAATGTTATATCATCTAATATCACTCAACTCGACTCAAGTTTAAAAAGATTTCGTCCAACTTATTTTTTAAGATAAAAACTTGCATCAGGTATGAGGTGCTATATATATATATATATTTGTAATTAAGTGAAGAAATTATATTCTTTTAGAAAAAAAGTGACATCTTTATAACCTAAATAATAATTGAGTGATCTGGAGTACATTTTCCCCTTATCATTTATCAATGATGAAATCATAAAAGGAAAAGTCAACGTCTGCTGAAATTATAGTATTTGGGGAAACACTCGCATGTTAATTTCAGTCACCCCATTGAACTCTCATTCCCCTATATAAAGGAGTTGCAACAAAACCACCCATTGCTGAGATTTCTTCTTGCGAGAGCTCTTGATTTGTTTAAAAACAAGAAGAAAAATGATCTCTCTAATGTGTTATAACTCGGGTTCATCATGCATGGCCGCCCTGATTTTCTACACTTGTGTTTGGATCCCGTTTCTTCAGTTCAAGAGACTTGCTTTATGCGTACTCAGCTTCTTCTTCCCATGGCATCAACCGGAGCGGAGCTGCCAGACGGTCGATCTCTGCCTTCCGGTGGCAAGGTTTGAAGATTTGAAACTTTACGCCGCCGGCTGCGGTGGAGACGACGGAGGGGATGATAATGAAGCGTGCTCTATTTGTTTGGCGGAGTTGGGTAAGGAAGATGTGGTGAGCCAAATCCAGAAGTGCGGGCACGTTTTTCACATGAATTGCATCGAGAAATGGATGGAACGGGATCACTTCACTTGCCCACTTTGCAGATCTTTTTTGTTTCCAAATGTGATCTCTTCTCATACCAAGTGTTGAGACTCTGCTCCTCACTTGGTTTCTTCATGGCTTTCGTTTTGATTCTGATCCCTGTCATAACCAATTTTTTTAGGTGGAACAATTAAATATTATTTTGAAAACAATTACGACTTTATTTTTTAAAAAAATGGGTGATTTTGAATTGATTTGAATAAAATTGAAAAGAGTCGCCATCGACCTTTAGATTAGGCAGGTCGAATACCTAAAAACGTCTTTCAAAAATAATTTTAAGAAAAACTCATTTTTAAAGACAAAAGGGGTCTACGTTTACCAGAAAATCGATTTGATGGGTTCGGGAGTCGGTTACGTGTGGGGAAGGATTATCACCCCCACAGCGCCCAAAATTGGTACTGTATCGCTTACATATCGTCGTGATGATGGAAATTATAAATCGAATATAAAGTTAAATTACGATCCATTTATTGAAATTTAATCAATTTGCTTCGAGTTAATTATTTAAAGAAAATCCTTTAACTCGATAAGAAATCTTGAAATTTGCAATCCTCCGTCGGGAAAGCTATTTCAACTATTTCTCTTTTGTAAAAGAATATTCTACCGTTGATTATGTAAAAAAAAAAAATTGCGAATCAACTATAACTAAAAACGATGTTTACATACGAGTAAATTAATTAACTAAAACGTGAATTGAATACAAATTAAAAATTTGAAATTTACATTCACATAAAATAAAATAAATTGTCACTTAAAATAACACACATTGCATCGTTTGAACAAATTAATTAGCAAAATATACTCGACTTATTTCAAGTTTCTATGTCGTTAAAATGCCGTACCGGATCACACCACTTCGATAAAGTGGTACTTTCCACGCCCATTCTACGCATACGTGTTCTTGAAAATATAATCGAATATTTCATACATAGATAAAAATATAATGAAAATAAATGTAATTGGAAATACAAAATGAAATATTCACATTACTAAAAACATTATTTACATAATACAAATAACCGAATAACAAGTACAATAAAATTATACATAAATGAATAAAATAAAATATTCACAAATGTCGGGGATAAATTCGAACATTAACAAAAATACCTAACATATAAAATCAATGACTAAAATGAAACTATTACAAACATTGGGACCAAAGTCAAGTATCCACAAAAATGACATAATATACATTAGTAGGACTAAAATATAAACAAGGAAACATAGATGCCCAAAACAAAAGAAAATAAAATAGACATTAAACCAAATATATTAAAAAACAGAAAATGACTAAAAATAAAAGCAATTAGAACTTGAAGCCAAAAAATTAAAAGATGCAAAGTTATATTCAGTGATAAAAATAAAATAATTACACAATATGAGATCAGATCCAAACATCCACGAAAGTAGTATAATACAAAAGAGTAAGGACTAAAATGAAATAAACATAAACATAAAAGATCACAAAGTAATTAAACCAAACATCAAACAATGACTAAAATAGACTATATACGAAAATGGTGACCAAATTCAAATAACAGTAAAGATAATAAAATGCATGGGATCAGTGATTAAATTGAAATATTTGAAAATATTAAATCCAGAATCAAATATAGACAAATATGATATAAAACATGAACAATGACTAATATATATAACATTTGCAAATTTCATGACCAAATCCGAATATCAAAGGAAAATGCACAATAAACTGAAACAATGACTAAAATAGCATATATACGAATATGGTGACCAAATTATAATACCAGCAAACATAATACACAAATTAATGACTGAAATACAATCATTAAAACTAAAAGGCTCGAAATCGAAATACAATAAATCTCATTTAATGACTAAATAATGCGGTTACAAAGGATCAGGGACCAAAAGTGATATTAGACCCTAAAAACCCGAAACACGCGGGTAAGTTTACAAAGCTGGGAGGACTAAAAGTGTAGTTATCCCATAACTCGAAAACACGGATGGGGTTGAGGGCAAAACGGTCGCGTTTCAGGTGGGAATTAAAAGCCCAAAACACGGGCTAAACCTCTCATCTCCCTCACATTTCTCTCGTCCAAAGAGAACAGAAATGAGAGAGTTTTAAAACTCTCTCAACTTCTTCTCATCGGGGAAGAAAGGACCGCCTCATACCGGCGGCTTCCCCGGTGGTCCACGGCGGTCGGAGGGAGTAAACAGTCCTAGAAGACTCCCTCCTTCACCCCTAACCCGAAAATCGTCCTATCCTAGCCTAAAAACGACCCTAGCCTCCTAGATCTACCACATTACCTTTCGAATATTTGGGAAAAACATCGACTCCTCGGCTTCCCGATCTCTGAGACGAGGTAAGATTTTAATCCTTTGTTGTTTTTGTGGGTTTTGATATCGGTTTTCTCTGTTTTTTCTCTCAAGGTTGTTTGCCTTTTCTTTCATTTCCCTCTGTTTTTTTTGGTATTTTCCCTCCTTTTTTTTCACCACCCGAATCCCCCAATATTTCTCTCTACTCTGCTTTATGTCGCCTCTGTCTTTTTGTGATTGTTTGTTGCTGATAGATGTTATTGACATGTTAGATTGCATTGGGATATCACATAGATTTCTTTTCATTTTTCTATTGGGTTTATTCTGCTTTCGTTCTGACTGATGGAGTCTCGGTCACTGTAGGTGATCACTGTTCGATGGACGTGTTCTAATCGGCTCCAATGGCGACGGGGGCGAGGATGAAGCTCGGCTGGGAAGCTAAACGATCAGGCGTGCGGCGGCTGTTGAATGATTAGGGGATTAGGGTAGAAACCCATATCTACTTAGGGTTTAGTTAGGCTGATTTGGGTCCGAATTTTGGGCTTCGGGTTGAGGGGTTGCTGGATCGGGTCATGTTCCAACTGGGTTATATTGCTGTTGGGTTGATGGCTGGTCTGTGATGTACTGGGCCTCAATAATTGGCCTGCAAAAATGTAACTTGTAATTTAATAATAAGAATAATAAAATAATAGTAATAATAATTATAATAATAATAGATAAAATATAAACAAAATAAAAAAGACCCGGACAAAAACGGGTGTCTACAGCTGCCCCTCTTTGCACATTCTTGTGTTAACAAGAATAGGGCAAAGATGACAAGACAACACGTTTTTGTCTGGTTCTCTCCCTTTTAAACTTATAAATTGGATAATGTTGGTTGTTGGGGACGACACTGCTCATACGTGATGAAGAGTTCGGGTCGTTTTAAGGTTAACGCGGTTCCTACGTGATGAGGAAATCTGGTCGTGGGATGACACTGCTCATACGTGATGAAGAGTTCTAGCCATCTTTAGGAAGAGCGATAACACGGTTCCTACGTGATGAGGACGGCTGGTTATCTAGGGGTGACACGGCTCCTACGTGATGAAGATATCTGGTCGGGGGATGACACGACTCATACGTGATGAAGAGTTCTGACCATCTTTACGAAGGGCGATAACACGGTTCCTACGTGATGAGGACGACTAGTTATCTAGGGTTGACATGGCTCCTACGCGATGAGGAGATCTGGTCAAGGGATGACACGGCTCCTACGTGATGAGGACGACTGGCCATCTCTAGGGATAATGGTTTCAAGGGAGACCAACTCAAAGATGTGTTTCAATAGGAACAAACTCAAAACTTGGATTTTGATAAAAATTGTCTCAAGGGAGACAAAATTCGTTTCAAGAGAAACGATCTCAAAGATATTTGCTTTGTTTCAAGTGAAATAAACTCAAAGATAAGTTTTTCAAAAGCAACTGTCTCGAAAGAGACAAAATTCGTTTCAAAGGAAACAACCCAAAGATGGCATTTAAAGGGAATTGTCTCAAGTGAGACAAAATTTGTTTTTAAGGGAAACGTTCTCAAAGATCGGTGTTTCATGGGAAATTGTCTCAAATGAGACAAAATTCATTTCAAGAGAAACAATCTCAAAGATGTTTATTTTATTTCAAGGGAAACAGATTCAAAGATGGTAAATTTTGTTTCCAAAGAAACAAACTCAAAGATTTTTCAAAGAAACTGTCTCGAGAGACACAAAATTTTGTTTCCAAAGAAAGAGATTCAATGATTTTTTTTTTTTTTTTGAAAAGACATTGTCATAAGAGACAAAACTTTGTTTTTCAGAAAATTGTATCTTAGTGAGACAAAATTTTGTTTCCAAAGAAACAGACTCATATTTTTCTTCAAAAGAAACTGTTTTAAGCGATAAAACCTTGTTTCCAGAGAAACAAACTCAAAGATGATCTTGTTTTAAGAGAAAATGTTTCAAGAGACAAAATTCGTTTCAAAGGAAACGACTCAAATAGGACATTGAAAGGAAACTGTCTCATGTGAGATAGAATTTGTTTTAATAGAAACGATCTCAAAGATGTTTTTTTTTTAAAGAAGTTGTCTCAAGAGACAAAATTTTGTTTCAAAGGAAACAAACTCAAAGATTTTTTCAAAAGAAATTGTCTTTAAGAGATAAAATTTTGTTTCAAAAGAAACAGACTCAAAGATGGATCACATCTTAAGTGAGACCAAATTTGTTTCAAATGAAACAATCTCAAAAGTTAGTTTTTCATTAGAAACTGTCTCAAGAGAGACAACATTTGTTTTTAAAGAAATAGACTCATAGATGATTTTGTTAAGAGAAACAAACTCAAAGATTTTCAAAATGAACATATTCAAAGATTTACTTCAAGAGAAACGGTCTCAAGAGATACAAAATTCATTTTAAGAGAAACAGATTCAAAGATTTTTGTTTCAGAAGAAATTATCTTAAGAGAGACAAAATTTTGTTTCCAAAGAAACAAACTCAAAGATTTTTGTTTCAAAAAAACAATCTCAAAGATTTTTTCACGAAATTGTCTCAAGAGAGACAACACTTTGTTTCAGACTCAAAGATTTTTCACGAAATTGTCTCAAGAGAGACAAAACTTTGTTTCAAACTCAAAGATTTTTCACGAAATTGTCTCAAGAGAGACAAAACTTTGTTTCAAAATAAATAGACTCAAAGATTTTTTCAAAAGAAACAACTCAAAGATTTTATTCAAAAGGAACAA